CTCTTGTGAATGCCATCAAGCTGTTTGCCAACATCTGACAACGTGAAAATCTAGATTTAAGCTTCCACCACTGATTTTATCTTTGCCTTTTCCCATTTTGGAGTATGATATTCACGTTATGTATATTAGCTCTCATATATTTTCAAAAGTTCATTCAATTTTCTTCCCTCTTCTTCATTCCTCATGTAATGGCATCCTTGGTAAGGCTGTTTTGTAGAATGGAGCACAGCCCTCTGCAGGCTGTAGGTACAGCACTCTTGCTGAACATGCAAAGAATATGTCAAAAAATTAATTTATGTATTTATATGTACCCAAGTCTCAGGTCCTCACTGGTGGGCATAGATCTAGCTAGCAGCATTCAATGACGTTTTTTTCCCTGGGGAGTTAGTGCAATAAAATGGTCTGTATTGGAGGACATGACCCTCAAACTGCTGTATGGAGCAGGTGAAAGGTGTACAGCAGCTGGAGAGGAAGGATGGCACCTGACTCGTGATGGGAAGGAGTAGAAAAAGCATCATCACTGTGTCTCCAGGCTATAGGCACAGGATGTTCAGAACATGGGCTTCATCAGCATTATCTAATAATCTTCAGATTTTCTTCCAAAGAATTATTATCATTTCAATCAGTTGAAACTTGAGATTTCCCTGGCCTTAAAAGTTCTGTTGTTTTTATAACAGTTAATACATTTTATATACCATGAAATATTTAAAAGAGTTCTGCAGGAAAAATAACTGCCAGCTCTTTTTAACCTGAAATTTATTGTGTAATTTTTTTCTTTTGTGAGGATTCTTTGTATTTCTTTTATAGCAGAATTTAAAATACAGAAAAGATACTATCCAAGAATTTAAGTATGAAAAATTGCAGTAATTGGTTTCTGTTTATTTACAATTATTTTTTCTGAAATTTGTCATTTGCTAGACCTAGAAATGTGCTTTTAGAATGCCAGAATTGTACACAAATGCATTATTCAGCCTACTCTGCATGAATGGGTTAGCTGCAAGAAGAAATACTACCCACATCTGTGTTGGCATAAAATACGTGCATATGCAACAGTTTAATGGCTTTAAATGTTTTTCTTGTATAACTCAACTAGTTTTTGGTGGAATCATCAAAGATAAATTTTAACTAATATCTACAGACAAGACTCCAGCAAATAAAAATTTTATAAATATTCAGTGATAGAAAATAGAAATATAACAGCCCTATAGAAATATTTTTAACATCTATGTGCTGATGATCCTTATTCTGTGTAACAACTCTTTTTACAGGAAATCCTTAAAAATTGCTCACAGAACTGTGAAGTGAAACCAAGCATTTCTGTATAGTACCATACCTCCCTGTTTCACTTAATGACCAGTGTAGTGCATGAGTTCAAAATACCCTGATGAACAACTAAGGTTCAATTTTGCCTGGATTTTTTTTTTCCCCTATGACAGTAGTTATCAGATACTCAAAAAATCTTTTTAGCTCTGCCACACTGACAGGCGGGATGCCACAGGGAAGGAGACCAAAGTGTCAGTTCTCCATGCCCTGGTGGACTGGAAAGCTGAGATTGCTGCTGAATGATTATATGCCCTCCTACAAATGCTTCCCTGGTGATCCTGGGCTGTATGGTCATATGTGAACAGCATTCAGATTTGCCGCCATCCTGAAATGTTATTACCTCTACACAAAATGCCAATATAATGATGAGAAAATGTAGAATCAGGAATGCAGTTCTTAGAGTAGTGAGTTACAGGTAGTACAAGGAACTGTTTCTTTCTCCAAGGAGATTTTGCTTTCATTTAGCCCCCATAATTGGCTGAATGTAAGCTCCTTAACTTCTTCTCATAATGCAGAGCTGGAATTTTTGCTGGCCCAAAGTAGAAGTATTCAGCATAGCTACTGGAAAACTGCAAAATATGTGCTTCCCATATTAAGAGGGAGAGAGAGAAGGACGTAAGTTTTGATTGACATTTTGTTCCAGAATTCCTTTGTGATTTTGCAGAAAGCATCATCCCCCCTTCTCACAGTATAGCTACTCATTTGTAGGCGTAAAACTGTGAAATATCAACGGTGTTCCAGATATGCTATACTCTAGCAAAATTTTTTCTTAATTCTTTAAGCTAAAACCTCTTTTAAGCTGTGTGAAAGATCCATGGGCAGACAGTTTAGACTATGATTCTCAGAAGAGTATACTAAAAAGGAAATCACATACCTCCAGAGCTGCCAGATAAATGATTCTCTCTTAGTGAGACAGGTGTTTTTCCCATACTTAAAAATTGAGAATTGGAGACAGTTCAAAAATAGTGTCACTGCTAATGGGAGGACTGAACTGATAGATATTTGCAAGGAGAGATTAAAGAAAGCTGTATCTAGCCCAGCTAAGTAACAGAAAGATCCATCAATAATTGAAAGGTGTCGGCGCCAAAGTGTGAGTATTTAGAGCTGCAAAAATAAAAATACCTAGGAATGATGTAAGAAAGTTATTAAAAAAATAAGTAGTAAAAATAAATACATTGATTAGCAACAAAAAAATGTTAGACAAAGAAGTAGTTCCATAAAGAGGGGGATTACAAGCATTACAAGGATTACAAACTTAGGTTTGTTCCATGGATTTGAATTCCTTAGATTTGTAAAGGAATAAGGCAAAAATGCTAAAAAGTATGTATTTTAATGCATGGAGCAACCATGTGTTGAAGGTAGATGACTGGAATGATCCCTTCTGACTCTTCAATCTCTTTTGTGCCCCATGCGCTTTAACTGAGGCTTACTGTGATCTTATCTATGAAAAGTAATATCTTCGTGGGAACCTGAACTGTGATGTTATCAGGTCCACTCTAAGGATCTTATATATACCACTTCATCACAGATATTATTGACAGTAAGTGCTTTTACCACTTTTATATATTCTCATTGTGAGTTGTTTTACAGCAAGGCAGCCAAATCAAGAGAATTTTTCCTGACCAGCTGAGCAGCTGATAAGTCTCTTTACAAGCACTTAGGTGAATTCAATACACTAGGATGTTAAAAGCGTGGGTTAGGACAAAAGCAGGTGTCAAAACATAACCCTCTGCTCTTTCCACCACCTCAAAGGTTATCTCCCACATGTAAAATTACTTGTTTTTTGAACCCCACTTTTCCTTAATTCTTTTGTTCAGAAAGTCCATCTGATCCTTTTCAGGATTCATTTCCCCATTTCTGATCTTCTGCTTTTGTCTCCTATTTCCCTTCCTTGTTCTCTGCACATCATGATCCTTTTTCAGGCTGAGTCATTATCCTTTTAAATTCTCCTAGGAAGGGCTTTTTTCTCAGTCATGCTATTTCCTAGTCAAGTGGTGGCTGTAGGAAGATCAGAATAACCCATGCTAGGAAGAGCTCTGTGAGTGGTAGTGCCTGTAAGACAAGCATACAAGTTGTATTGTTTGTTAACTGCAAATTCACTTTTATCCCCTATTCCCTGGCTGTTTAGATAGACCTAAACCTCCACAGGGAGGAAAGAAAAACCCTTCTTGACTCTTTTCAGAGCCCGAAGATTAAAAATGACCCAATCCAGTGTGTGTCTGCACTCTGAAAAAATTTTCTTTATCCTGCAAGTCGTGTGGAGTCCACAGATAATATGGCTCCCTTTCTGCTCCAAAATCTGCACAAATCCTCCCCCTACCATGCCTACAGATGGAAATAGGAAATATTCCCTTGCCAGGCCTGCAGTAAAAAGCAGTGTGTCCCAAAAGCAATCGTTCCTTGTGCACTACATCTTGTGAGCAAGCAGACGGTGTGGCTTGCTTCAGTAACTGTTATATGTAAACAGTCTTTAAAAACATAATCTACATTGTCAAAGCCTAATCTAAATGATGTACTGACATTGCTTACTTTGATATGCTGACTTGGTTTTGAATTCTCTCTGGATTGCCTGGCCCCACATGGCCTTTTTGTGTTTTGTTTACTTTTCACTTAGCTGTCACGTATTTATTCCCATTAGATGTAAAAAGTCAATGGCTTCAGCCTAGCTTTACAGTTTAGTTGGCTAATACAGCATAGGGAAAGCACTGAGTGAAGCCAAGCAGAGGGTCAGGAAAAAAGCAATGTGATTCTTCAGGTCTGACACAGAGACCAACAAAACAGAAAACTCATAAAAGGTCTGGATCTGGTAGAGCAGCTAGAGATAGTTATCTTTTCAGAAAAACATGAGTTGACTGTAAAGCAGAAATTCACTGAAATGGGGAACGATTTGTTTAGACTGAATTTCTGGTTTTAAAGGCTTTTTTCTGAATAAATGCTGAAATTTTGTATACATCACATATATTTAAATTAAAAAAAATTGGATTTGTTTCAAATGTGAATGGATAGGAAAATGTTACTTTAAAAGCTTTGGATTTATCTTAGTCAAACAGTTTAAATGGTTTACATGATCTTGCTCTATGAAAGTCTTTGAAAACATGTGAAAACACTTCATGCCGAGAATAATAATCCCCCCAAAATCTAGTTGGCGTGATATTGCCCACAGAATCCACAAGACAAATGGGTGTTCAAGAAGTCTATCACAACTTGAAGCACGACTGAAATGTGGACCATGGCTAACCATCTAGATAGCCATGCCTACCCTCCCAATGTGAATAACTGAATACCTACCTTCCATCTAAATGGTTGTTTTTAAGGCTCAAAGAAAAGTCAGTGGGGGGGTTTCATGTGGAAGTTAGCATTGATGGAGGGACCCTGATGTTTCCTTTGTTCCCTGAAGAGGAAACAGATTCCACAGTCCACAGATTTCCTCCACTGCGCTGTTTCACTGATGGCACGTTGTTATCATATCACTTTTCTTCAGTTTCAGGTGAGGTGCTCTGCCAAAGCACTGCATGGCACCAGCGACTGTGTAACTTTTTCTGCTGGCAGCAGCTGGGCACCCAAACTTCCCTTTCCTTAAAGAACAGACTGTGCTGAAACTGTCACGTTTTCAGGCGCACTGGCCTCCTTTTGGACTTCACAGTCCGTAGTCTGAGCTTTTCCTCTGTTTACTGCAGGTGAAATACGGAAACTATGCCTTTGTCTGGGATGCAGCAGTGCTGGAGTACGTGGCCATCAACGATGCAGAGTGCTCTTTTTACACAGTCGGGAACACTGTTGCGGACAGAGGATATGGGATCGCACTGCAGCATGGCAGCCCCTACCGAGATGCTTTCTCACAAAGGTAAGGGTTTGGAGTAAGAGGAGTAGGTCCTAAGAGAAAGTTTCTCTTGGCTCTGGGCCTGTCTTTTAATTTAATTTTCAGTGAAGGAGAAACATCTTGTATTTGTAGTCCACTTCATGTTTTACATAGACATTCATTTTCCCTGAGACATTGAATTATTCACTTTTCTAGAAACTGCATTAAAAACACTTCATGTTGCTGTTATTTGAATTGTCCTTGTTTCTTTTGAAAAACATTAATGAGAGAAACTGAACTTCGTTAGCAGGAAAATGAGGAAAGAGTTGATTTATTTGTCATAGAAAGTCACCATAACTCAAACCTTCCTGTTAGAGAAGCCATTTCTTAAAGAAAAAAAAAGTAAATTTGCACCCTCATGTGCAAAACTCAAGGGAGATGAATAAAAACATTTGATGTTTTGGTGGAAAGACCCCTATTAGTACCCAAAAGCATAAATGCTTATCCCAACACAAATCGATCTGTTGGGCTACAGAAGTGACATCTCCACAGATGATACTGGTACTGTGTTTCTATTAGGACCAGAAATACTAAATTAATTGCATGTATTGTGCCTTTGCAGTATTTGTGCTTCACTATAGTATTGATTCCTAAATCGGGATGTGTGTGAAATATGAAAAAACAAGCAAACTTTTTAAAAGTATAGTATCTGCAGTCTGGCATTTAGGAGAAGACATGGGCTAATCTCATGAGCCTTTTTCATTCTGAATCTGGTCTCTCAATCTGGTTTATATTGGTTTGCATTAGATGCATGTAACAAAATCTTACAATTGCTGTGATAGAATTTCTTCTGTGTGGTTGTCATGTAAAGATACAAATAAGCTTCCTTTGGACTACTGCCTTTGTCTTCAGTCCATAGAGTGAACTGGGGGAAAAGTAGCTGGTAAGTAACAGTATGCAGATTCAGAGGAATCACTCTCTGCTTACACATACTGAGTGAACAGAGAAGACGTGAATTCTTTGAATCTGTTCTATGCTGGGAGCGATATGGCTGAATTTTGTGCTAGCATAGCAGTAACATAATAAAAAAGTCCACAGGATCATAGAAAAATTTAATTTCAATGAAATATATATATGCTTTGTATCTTACAATGAGCATTAGAGGCAAATATTTACTGAATACTTTAATACTTTCATATTCCAGCTATGATCAGGCTGGCTTCACTTAAAATCTCTGGCATTGAACTGTTTGGGGTCTCCACACAAAACAAAGGAGTAAAATTTCTTCCTGTAATCTTTCTAAGGAATGCTTTCAGCTGTTAGAGATCTCAGATGCTTGTCAAGGTGTTAAGTCATCCTCTTCACAGCATTATCCACCTAAGCTTGAGTACAAAAATTTGAAGACACTGGGGAGTTTTATAGTCTTTGTCTTTAATACTAAATACAGTGAAATTGCCAAGTGGCATGGCATGTCATGGCTCATGCCCACGCAGATGAGCATTCTTCATGCCCACCACTGCTGCTCTCCAAATCAGGGTGGATGTATCCAAACTGATCCTCAGAGACTGCTCCTGACATTTTTATATACTGGTTATAGTTCTTGGTATATGGGGAAAATGGTTATGGCTGGTTCTGGTAAGTGAATATATTCATCGCAGTATTCAGTACCCAGAGAGGCTGGATTACAACTTCTGATACACTGCCTTTAGCAGCTTCTGGATCATTGGTCTGTGCAGGCCTGACATTTCCAAGTACAATTTTATTTCATAAGAAAATTTCAGCTTTTCAGTGTATTATTATATCTTGAAGCTATAGGAAAGCAGGAAGAAGCATAAAAATTTGCACATATATAGGTCTTTTTATCTGAAGATCTTTGAAGCAATATTTAACTATTAACACCTCTCAGTGGAAAGTAAATGCCATTTCCATTTAATGCTTAGGGAATCTATAGCAACAGGAGACTTAAATGAATTCCCGAGGTCGTATGTTGTCCCCTGGTGGACTCAGGAATCATAGGCACTCATTTTCAATTTCCTGCTATAGTTATCAGAGTTCAGGTAGATGAAGAAAGGGATTATTTGTCAGATATTGGACTACAGGAGGATCTGGAAGGATAGGCAGAACTTAGCACTAGTGAAAAAGTAACTCATTACATTAGCAAGAGTAATAGTTGAACAGAAAAACTGGAATTTGCTTTGAGTATACTACCTACTGGAGAATTTATAGATATATATTCTGCAAATGTATGTGCTACTGTGCTTATATTTTTATTTCTGTACGATGAGAGCATATTATATATCACTTCTAATTATGTCCATGAATATAAATTTACAGTTTGAAGCAGTGAAACACCACATAACAAGCATATGAAGGAGAATTCATGCCTACAAGGTAGCTTATAACATTTTGTTCTAAACACCCTTCCATGCTGCTCCTTAAGTTTACACATCATGTGGTTATTACACATCATCCTTACTTTTCTTTCTGATGAAAAGGCTGAACAACCTTCAGCAGCTGCAGCCTGCATGCTAAATAGAGAGGGAAATAGATTTCATTGTATAGGATTAGCAAATGTTCTCCTGAATATTTCACGTTCTTTAATGTAGCAGGGAACTGGTTTAAAATATATTGGTATTTCTTGATCTTTCCCAAAATAAATATATTTATGTGAAAATACAGGTCTTATCTTTTATGAAATTTCATATAAACTCATAAGCTGCACAGTGTTAAATCCCTGGGGTGCAGCTGTGAAAGGTCTGGCAGGCTTACAGGAAATTTTGTTCTCTGTACAGAAAGCATGGGCACGAGTTTAATGCTTTTCAGTACCTTTTCTGAACATTCAGGTGATTCCTAGAGAAACAGGAAAAGAAAGAGAGAAGTGTAAACACCCACCCCTTCTCTCCAGTGCTATGGGGTGTGAGTTGCAGTCAAGGTAACACTGTGGTAAAGTTTAGGCATTTGGGATTTTCAAAAGCACTTTATGTTTCAGATGTGCTCTATGTTTTTCTCCAGGGGATTAACACGTGTAAAATGCTGTGGCCTTTGGGAACTGCAACAATATTCACCTGCTCTGTGAAGTATTCAGTCTTTATGGGAGTTTATCCATCAGTTAGGCTACTTAAGAAAGGCATTAAGCCTGAGATCAATTTGAAATGCTGAGGTGCCATCAAAACACATCCAGGGCATTGCAAAAATTAAATTCCCTGATATAATCTCCTCCCACAACTGATGGTGATGGCGGGCTCCCTTGTACCCCAGGCAGTCTGTGAGGTGCTAGAAGAAGCCTGAAGCAACCGAGAACTTAGTGGGAACCAAAGCTGCAGTGATAGTCCTAATAGCCATGTTTGGGATGTGGGACTGCAGCTGATGACCACCTGGTTGCCTGGTACCCACCACAATGAAGAAGCACACAAGCTGCAGTGCCCTAAGCACAGTGCAGAGCCCGTGCTCCCAGCTTCAAACCGCCGCTGCCACCTTGTGCCTGTGTATTTTCACGGGATGCTGTCGTACCAGTACGGAATGAGGCTCCAGTTACCAAGGAACCAGAAAGTGAAAATGCTTAGTGTCGGCTACAGTTAAATTAACACAAAAGGTTCAATATATACTTGATTTTAAATTGATGCAATTAAGCAAGTGTCATACAGGAATGTACTGTCATTGAGGTACACTTGCTTGCATGGGTTCATATTGTTTTTATAACTTTACAAGTATAAGGTATTGACTATACCCTTCAGAGAGAAGCATGAGCACTCTCATGTATTTGAATTTAAAATTGGAGTTATTCTTACAAATGCAAGTTTGGCTACAATGAAATATTAGCTGAGAGTGTGGCAAAATGCGTATCACTTAGAAATTTCATGTACCTTTCCTGGAATTTTAAATAATTGATTCCAGACATACCACAGGAGATGAAACCCTGTTCAGGATTATTCTTTTCAGACTCGAGAAAATCTAAAATTTTGGGAATGAACAAAATTTTTTGGATGATAAAAGTTTTATTGTTCAAAGTGCATTATCTATATATGCCTTCAGGGAAGAATTTCGTGCAGGTGTAGTTTAGTGAAGGAGAAGGGTAACCAGTCAAAAGCACTGTAATGAAACTGGTCTTTGTTCTGATCTAGAAGAGATGGGGTTTTTGCATGTGAAAAAGAAAGTTCTCAAAGACATGCGCAGCAGTGAGTGGTCTGACTGCAGAATGAGATTGGATTTTTGCTGTATGGGGATGGCAAAGTGGCAAGCTGGGGTCCCACACGGCACCTGTGACCATTCTCTGCCTAATGCTTTCTCTGAAAACAGGTGCTTCGAGTCCATCCTGAAAATAGGTGTGTGTCTGTAACATAAATAATATAGAAAATAATTGTGGTAACATTTGAAAGATAGGCCTGTCATAGCATCCTGATGACTTCATTCATGTTGTTGCAGACATTAACAAACACAACTGGCCCTACCACTAGGCAGCCAGTTGGTGTGCTCAGGTAGATTGCTGTCCTCTTTTCTTTGCCACAAAGACTTAACCTTCTGAGCACCAGCAGCCTCCAGGCAGCATGTCAGTTTTTTTCTTTCAAGCTAATGACAGGGACTGTAATAATAGGAACTGCCAAATTTCCTAGGAGAGCTTGAAAAGGGTGTGTCATTTGGTTCACAAGGAACTCTAAGCTGACGCTAAATTTGACACCTGTTAAGAATTCTTTTCAGCCCTAAACCTTAAAACTTCCATTGCACCCCTGGGAGGTATAAGTATAATTGCAAACGCTTTTGATGGTATTACATAGGATGTCTGCACTTCCTACAGTGCTGCAGCAATGACTCAGGCACTCTTCTGGTGGCTGGCTTTTGGTGGAGGTCAAGGAGGGGTGGCAGCAAAGAGCTCGGATCCCGTTCATGTCCCTGCCTCTTCTGCTGGCTGACTCTCTTCTGCTGCACTACGGTCCTGGCCACACAGCACGCTAGAGCCAGAGGGAGAGGAAACTAATTTCATGCTCAGCAGAGGCCAGCAGCCAGCTTTTCACTTAAGTCACTAGAAGCTGCCAACACCCAAAACCAAG